CTGTTCCCCCTCTTCACTAGCTTTGCTTTCTCTGTCTGTTTTTTCTCTTTCACCAGCTTCTCTCTATATCTGTCTGTATTTCATCAGCTGCTCTCTGTGTTGGACTGTTCTCCTTCAGCAGCTTCTCTGTGCGTCTGATTTTATTCTTTTACTGGCTTCTCCTTATATCTGACCATTCTTCTGCTCTCTGGGTCTGAGAGTTCCTCCTCTTCCTCCCCAGCTGCTCACTGCATCTGACTGTTCTTCAATAGCAGCTGCTCTCTGGGTCTGAGTGTTTTTCTTCTCCTGCTGCTCTCTGGATCTCAGTGTTCTTCTTCTCCAGCTGCTCTCTGCAACTGACTGTTCTCCTTCTCTACCACCTTCTCTCTGGGTCTGATAGTTCCTCTTCTTCTCCTGCTGCTCTTTGGGTCTGAGAGTTCCTCTTCTTCTTCTTCTTCTCCAGCTGCTCTCTGCATCTGACTGTTCTTCTCTACCAGCTGCTCTCTGGGTCTGAGTGTTCTTCTTCTCCTTCTCCAGCTACTTCCAGCTGTTCTCCTTCTTTACCAATGTATCTCTGCATCTGACTGTTCTGCATCTGACTGTTCTGCATCTGACTGTTCTTCACCAGCATGTGATTACATGACTGTGATTATATGGATTTAGAAAGCATTTCTTCATGATTTGCTTCGCATGTTGCGATTGCATGCATTCATTTTCAGTCAGTTTACTCACATTTAGGATAACTAGAGCTCTGGTGCATCTAGAATCCAAATAGTAAATGGAGGAATGGTCACTAGCACTCCATAATGAAGTAACAGTGTAAATGTAATCACATAGGTCATACAGCCATTGTTTCACAGTCACCTTCCTCAAACCTTTACAGCAGGAACATCTGAACATAGGAAAAAGTGATCTAGGAAACATAACAATTGTTTATACTTCCCAGATAACTTCTCTTGCATTTAGAAAAGCTACACGTCGGAGTATCAGTGTGAATGAAGCCTTAAGCTGGGCACACACCTTACAACCATCGCAAGACTTTTGTCTTGCGATGGTTGTAAGGTACTTAAAAAAACGTACGATCTGCCTATGTTGAATAGGCGATCGTACTTGCGATGATCGCAAACCACGCCCCCTGAGGGGCGGGCTTCCGATGACCGCAATGCCGAACGGGCAGTGTGCGCTTGCGCACACCGGCCCGTACGGCTGTTATCGTACGGACATGCCACAAACCCGCTGAACATCGTACGATGCTCGGCGGGCTTTCGAACATGTCCGTAAGTTTAAAGTTGTGCGACCTTACAGTAGTAGAGGTCGCACGGCTTCCACACACCTTACGATCATCGTACGATCACGGGATTTCCCGCGATTATCTTACGATAATCGTAAGGTGTGTGGGGACCCTTACTGTTCTCCTTCTTTACCAGGTGCTCTCTATATCTGACAGTTCTCCTTTTTCAACAGCTTCACTCTGATCTGTGTTTGACTGCTCTCCATCAACTTCTCTGTGTCAGACTGTTCCCTACAACTAGCCTTTTTTTTTTTAATGCAGTTCCTGCTGGCTTATTTTTACAGTGTAGCCTAGAAGTACCATAACCACCATGACTCGAGTGGAGATAAGGAATGTGTTCCTATGGGCCACTCGGTTGGGGGGGAAAAAGCACATCCACCAGGTGGTGCTGCAGAGTTGTAGCTGGCATGCATTCAGCCTTGGGGCCATTGTAATGCTGAACATACAGGGACATCATTAGTTGATACAGCAAAAGATAAGGATAATTGCCTATTTTAATGATCTTTGACCATCAAAAGCAGCTGTGGTTTCTTCCTCTCAGTCTGTTTGTCACCCCCAAATGCAAAAATTGTTGCCTTCACTTAACGGAGAACCATTTTACACCCGAACAGGAGAAATGTTCCGATGTTGAAGATTTCTGAAGTAGTCGTTATCAGTTCTCCATAGCACCCACGTTTGTGCCTTCTCTCCCTATTATTATTTTTATTTTATTTTTTACTCTGCATGCACTCTCTTGCTTGCGCTCTCTTGGTCTCGCTCAATATCTTGCTCTCATGTGCTCTCTCTCTCTCTCTCTTCTCTCTCCAGTCTTCACTATGTTTTCAAGCTTTTTTACACTAGTCATCTCTGTCTTGTACGCTCTCTTGTGTGCACTCTCTCCCTTCTGCCCACTTTCTTACACTCTCTCTCCCTCTTGTGCGTTCTCTTGTGCGTTCTCTTGTGTGCTCTCTCTCATGTGCACTCTCATGCTTGTTCTCTTGTGTGCTCTCTCTCATGTGCACTCTCATGCTTGTTCTCTTGTGTGCTCTCTCTCTTGCGCTTGAGTTCTCTCTCTTGCGCTTGCACTCTTTCTTGTACACTCACACTCTTGCTCTCTTGTTTGTTCTTTTGCTATCTTCCTCTGAGTGTGTGAATGTACAGTATGTGTACTGTATATAGCAAACATTGCAGCTATAGTACCACAACCTCCTGCTTAGATTGTTTGTTTTTTTTGCTTTACTGACTAATGACAAAAAGGACCATGTTTTTTTCTCTTTTTCATGTCCTTTAGTAGCTCCTCTGAAGGACAAACCTGGTCTCGAGAGCTTTGTGCTGAGTAGATTTTTAAATGTGACATTACTCCTGTATAATGCAAAATGAATCCAATTCACTGGAGCTGCTTTTTAAATAGCAAAACAGGGCAAATAAAAGTTGGCCTAAAGCCAATGAGTTGGTAACGCACCATAAAATGCATGTTATTGCAACACACGTTGACACTTGGCACTGTATGAGATGCCTTGCGGTGCCTTTCATTTAAAATGGCGACTCCATGCAAATACAGTAGTTGCCAAAGTGCTTGTACTATAGCTCACATACCATACATTGTGCTCTGTGCTGATGAAAAATGCTTCATGTGTGTTTTTTCATGCGCTGAAGTATACCGCTAGCCGGGGTCTATTTACACCTATAAGGTTTAACATCAGTGGAAATGCTCAAAGGTGCATTTGGATGTGCGTTAACTTTGCGCTGTTGCATATTATTTTACTCACTGTCAAGCTGTGTAACAATGTACATTGATGCTCGCTGCCAAATGTGACGCATTAATGTGCATGATGATTTCATTTGACATGCGCCTTAAGGCATGCATTATGCTGTTTATGGATGCATTTCAGTGGAAAATGCATTAAGCGTGTATGCAAAGGTTTTAAATCCACCTCAAATGCCTCCAAGCAGCACGCCTCAATGTAACCGCAAACGTGAATGGGGCCCCTGAGGACGATGGGCATGTGTGCACCATCCGACAGTTCTCCAAAACTTCCATTCACAGGTTTCCTCTTGAACATAAACACTCAGGCACCTAAGCATATTTGACCTTTCACCTCTAGATGTTTGCTGCTGTCCATAGACATAGCAACCACCAAGATTTATTGTCCTTCTCTAGTCTGCATTGGGGAAATGAAACAAAAGATCTGACCAGTTGCTATGGGCAGTGATCTCAGCGTGTGAATCGGTGAGATTAATATTTCTGTAAGGAATGTTTTTAATTATAAACTCAAAATAAAATCTAGTATGACTAATCTTGAAGTTTAAAGTGACACTAAACGCAGTTTCAACGAGTTAAATCTTAAAAATGTGTTCAGGTACCTTAACTATTAATAAAAATGTATCTTATTTGTCTATCACTCGGCTGTAGATTCTCAAATCCTCTCTGAATTGGTGCTGAGACTGTCCTTCCTTCTGGAGGGTGGCTACTTTTGTTCCCCATGGCCCCTGTGTGTGTTGTAAAGTAGCCACCACTCCAAGCTCACTCCTGTGATGGACTACATTCTCTTGTTTAGTTTACTTATATGTATTGAGATTGTAGTCCATCACAGGAGTGAGCTTGGAGTGGTGGCTACTTTACAACACACACAGGGCCCATGGGGAACAAAAGTAGCCACCCTCCAGAAGGAAGGACAGTGTCAGCACCAATTCAGAGATGATGTGAGGATCTACAGCTGAATTATACACAAATAAGATACATTTTTGTTAATCGTTAAGGTACTTAATTTAACGCCTGAGTTTAGTGTCACATTAATGTAAAGGAACACTTGCAGGAACAGACCTCTTGTTGGCTTCTAAACTTATACTTTGTAAGTCATGAGAAATGTATACAAGCAGGATGTCCTCCTAACTCTGTTGTCTTGTATGGGAATTGTGATTGTAATGTCTTCCTTATATTGTAAAGCTCTGCGTAAAAACTGTTGGCGCTATATAAATCCTGTATAATAATAATAATAATAATAATAATGCTGCTGAGAATAGGAGCTGGAGGCTCTGGAAGTCCCCATGTTCACCCCTTCTAATAAACAGAGGGAAGAGCATGCTGAAATCCAGCTTAGATGCCAAGACAAGAACCACATACAGTCAAGCCTTGGCCACCCCGTCCACCACTGGAATCCAGCTTCACTATCTCTACAAACAACTTGTCCTATTGTCAGCAACTAAATATTTATTTATGTTGAGTTAATTTCCGCTCTTCTTGTTGCTTCTAAATTTAGGGGAAAGAATTTTGTCAGCATCCAGATACTTTGTAACAGAAGGAAGGAATTTGAGCCCATAACAGGAGGAGGGACTGAGGAGTCAGGCTGTGGGAGTGAGTTGGAGAGGGGGATCATTTGCATATCCTTCCAGCACTGGCCAATCAGGGAGCAGAGGGGAGTGATTATGGTGATTGTCTCTATTCTAAGGAGCATGCGTGGATTAATTGGTAACAAAGCAAAACCCCAGTCCCTGCATTTGGTAATATCCGTTGGAAACGTCTGACCTGGGATTGTCTCTGTTGCAGCTGAGAAGGTGGACTGGCTCTGCTCCTGAAGTGGGGGACCTGTCACCGCTAGCAGTGAGTACATGCTGATGGTCTGATCTGATGGGAGAGGGAAGGGATGCTGAGCCCCATCACACTGGCTCAATGAATGAGTCAGAGTGGCATTTAATCTGGATTTACAGGAAAGAAGAGTGGGCGGGTACTGGATTCTGTACATTGGAACCTGAGAAGGAGGATGTAGGGATATGGTCTCCCGAGATCCTTGGATACTGCAGGTGTGTGCTGTCTCATGTGCTGTGACTAACAGGGTTAAATGGAGCCAACTGGCATCTCGTCGCCTCGGGGTAAGGATAACCGCTGCGGAGCCATGTCCATTGTATGGGAATACAGGGATTTCTGAAGACTGACATTGATCACTGTATGTGTGCATTGCATCTATCTATCTATCTATCTATCTATCTATCTATCTATCTATCTATCTATCTATCTATCTATCTATCTAGTTACTGCTTGGGTATACACTATGCATGTAGCTGTACATACTACATATCTCTACATGCAATATTTCTAGAGCATAACCTCTATGCCCTTTATACAAATCTACTGACAATGTGCCAAAGGGAGTACGTCCACAGCAACCACATTTCACTTTTCGACTGTCAGATTGATCGCTGACTGCAGACAGGTTGCTATGGGTTACCACACGTGTGTCGCTCTTTGTGTGTGAATTTATACGTGGTGTTCGCACTTATATGCGAACATTGCACTGGGTGCATGTATGCGCGTATGGACACCTTTTATGCAGTGTGTGTAGCCCAGACAGCTATGGGTAACGTACACAATCTGTGTGTGGCCTTTATAAGAGAGACAGTATCCATGCGTGCGTTGGTGGGCATCTTGTCTCCGGGGATGAGAGGGAGATCGGTTGATCCATAATTCCTTCTGGCTGCCAAAATATTTGGTTCTGGGAATTTTTGGCATCTGTTTGAAGTCACAGAAATGACTCCGTTGCAGTTTGTTATAAGCCGCTCTTGCATATACGCTCCTGACAGGGTATGGCATGTATCTTTAACGTGTTATATGTATGTAGGCTTTCCACTTACAGCGGAAGGGTTGAACTACATGAGCAATGTAATCTCCTGCTAATGAGCGGTTTAGACTCTTGCTGGCAAACCATTCAGTTTGTAACACGGGATATGCTGCAGATGGGGTGACTGCCAACAAGTGGTTAAATTGCTCAGAAGCATGGACGGTTATATCAGCCATGTAGAACAAGGCGACCGGAGCCGTGTACCAGCACAAATGTAGTATGTACTATGATATTGGCTCTTACTTGTATTTACCTATTCCAGTATCTAATAAGATTTTTAAAACCTATTTACTGTACAAGTATTCATGTAACCTGGAATGTGTGCAGCCAATTCAGTGCGGGTCCTAGTGTGGTAGCTGTAGTCTTTACTCCTTTTTGCGATACAAGCACAGCCTTCAGACCTGTGTGCCTCTGCCAGTGTATGTACCACTACAATAGTCATTCCTGTATGCCTCTGCCAGTGTGTATACCACCACAATAGTCAGACCTGTGTACCTCTGCCAGTGTGTATACCACCACAATCGTCAGACCTGTGTGCCTCTGCGAGTGTGTATACCACCACAATCGTCAGACCTGTGTGCCTCTGACATTGTATATCACCACAATCGTCAGACCTGTGTGCCTCTGACATTGTATATCACCACAGTCATCAGTCCTGGGTGCCTCTGACATTGTATATCACCACAGCCTTCAGTATTGTGTGCCTCTGACATTGTATATCACCACAGCCTTCAGTATTGTGTGCCTCTGAGATTGTATACCATGACAGTCGTCAGTTCTGTATGCCTCTGCCAGTGTATATACCACCACAACCTTCAATCCTGTGTGCCTCTGCCAGTGTATACCACCACAACCTTCAATCTTGTATGCCTCTGCCATTGAATACCACCACAGCCTTTAATCCTGTGTGCCTCTGCCAGTGTATACCACCACAGCCTTCAGTACAGTATTCCTCTGTGGGTGTGTACCACCACAGCCTTCAGTCCTGGGTGCCTCTGACATTGTATACCATCACAACCTTCAATCCTGAGTGCCTCTGCCATTGCATACTTCCACAGCCTTTAATCATGTATGCCTGTGTCTAACACCAAAGCCTTGTATCCTGTGTGCCGCTGCCAGTGTATACCACCACAGCTAATGTATACAACTTCAGCCTTCAGTCCTGTGTGCCTCTGCCAGTGTATACCACCACAGCTAATGTATACAACTGCAGCCTTCAATCCTGTGTGCCTCTGCCAGTGTATACCACCACAGCTAATGTATACAACTGCAGCCTTCAATCCTGTGTGCCTCTGCCAGTGTATACCACCACAGCTAATGTATACAACTGCAGCCTTCAATCCTGTGTGCCTCTGACATTCTATGCCAACACAGCCTTCAGGATTGTGTGCCTCTCACATTGTATACCACCACAACCTTCAGTCCTGGGTGCCTCTGACATTGTATACCATGACAACCTTCAGTCCTGGGTGCGTATGACATTGTATACCACCACAATCTTCAGTATTGTGTGCCTCTCACATTGTATACCACCACCGCCTTCAGTCCTGAGTGCCTCTGACATTGTATACCACCACAATCCTCAGTCCTGGGTGCCTCTGACATTGTATACCACAACAACCTTCAGTCCGGTTTGCCTCTGCTGGTGTGTACCACCAAAGCCTTCAGTCATGTGTGCCTCTGGCAGTGTATACCACCAAAGCCTTTAGTCCTGTGTGCCTCTGCCAATGTATACCACCACAATCTTCAGTCCTGTGTGCCTCTGACATTGTACACCACCACAATCTTCAGTCCTGTGTGCCTTTGACATTGTACACCACCACAATCTTCAGTCCTGTGTGCCTCTGACATTGTATACCACCACAATCTTCAGTCCTGTGTGCCTCTGACATTGTGTAGCACCAAAACCTTCAGTCCGGTGTGTCTCTGCTGGTGTGTTCCACCACAGCCTTTAATCCTGTGAGCCCCTGCCATTGTATACCAGCACATCCTTTAGAACTGTTGGAGACTTGGAGTGTGGCAACATACACATCTATACCTACTGTTTACCTCTGCCAATGACACAAGCAAATCTGTAATTCCAGCATGGCTTTACCACTGTTCACAAGCAGATGATTTAGCCTTTTCCAGCACACACACACACACACACGCACATCTATCCATGCATCTAACCCCTTGCCAGGATACCTAAGAATAGTACACCCCCAAACAGGAAGTCACCTTGTAGTACATGGAGGCATAGACATAATATTTGATATAAAATGATGTTATGTACTGGGTAATGATGACCAGATGTCGTAGAGCACCAATCTTCCTGGGATGGGTTGAGTCTGGGGTGAAGGAATGCCAGGATCTGTTTCTGTCTGTGATCGGCTTGTATGATGGATCTCAGCCAGACAGAACACGTGTGTTTCATACATTAGCTGTCTGCGCCAGAAAAGACGTTAAGCAGCAACAGGCCTGTGTATAATCTGTGTATCACACCTGAGGGTACCCAGTAAACACTATGTATTACCTCTCTATATTGTCAGGGGCATGTCACACTGTGTACATATATTTCATACAAGCGGCTCTCTTATTTACTCCCTCCTTTTGGCCCTCGGCCAGCTGCAGAGTTTAAACAGAATGAGGTTCAAGTATTTTCTGCAAATCATTATGGTTCTGGCTTCATTATTTTACAGTTCGGGGAATAAAATGAGGCCGGAAACATTGCAAGGCACAGGAAGCGAGTATACAAAGTCAATCCCTAACAATTCAAAAAGAAATCATTTTATTTTCCGTGCTAATCCTTTGAGTAGTGCTGAGGTAGATTTTCGGTTGCCAGTAAGTGTCGCCCTAGGTAGAATTAATGGAGCCCCTTCTAGAGTCAGTGGCAGTCTGAATTCGCTATTATAGGAAGAACAGGCATTGTATTTCCTAAGGCAGAACTACAGGGGGTGCAGAGGAAGTCATCATTGCAGGATGGGTGATATCAGGGGCCCATGCATCACTGCTATTCCCTTTTATATATCTGTGTGCAAGCTTAACATTCTGTGCAGAATGGAGCATTTCTCTTCAATCCCAGCCCGTCATTCTTCATTCTGTTATCTCTTGTGGACAAAATTAAAAAATGATGCTCTGGTGTATTGAAAATTAGCAGATGAAGGAGAATGATACTGTTTGACATTATGGTGCAAGATATGCCATGTTCCAGTTCAGGTTTTGCATCAGCTTTTTTTTTTCTAACCCCTTTATATGTGTTCATATAACACAATAGAAACCGGATTTTATTAATTTTTATGGCCTGCATTTTGTTATTTTTGTGTACTGGGGGAATCACTCAACATATACTATATTGCCAAAAGTATTGGGACACCCCTCCAAATCATTGGGTTCAGGTGTTCCAATCACCTCCATGGCCACAGGTGTATAGAATCAAGCACCTCGGCATGCAGACGCTTCTACAAGCATTTGTGAAAGAATGGGTCGCTCTCAGGAGCTCAGTGAATTCAAGCGTGGTACCGTGATAGGTTGCCACCTGTGCAATAATCTATCCGTGAAATTTCCTTGCTGCTAAATATTCCACGGTCACCTGTTAGTGGTATTATAGGAAAGTGGAAGCAACTGGGAACAACAGCAACTCACCCACAAAGTCCTAGGCCAAGTAAAATGGCAGAGCGGGGTCAGCGCATGCTGAAGCACACAGTGCGCAGAAATCGCCAACTGTCTGCAGAATCAATAGCTACAGACCTCCAAACTTCGTTTGGCCTTCAGATTGGCACAACAACAGTGTGTAGAGAGCTTCATGGAATGGGTTTACATGGCCGAGCAGCTGCATGCAAGCTTTATATCACTAAGTGCAATGCAAAGCATCGGGTGCAGTGGTGTAAAGCACGCCGCCACTGGACTCTAGGGAAGTGTAGACGTGTTCTCTGGAGTGACGAATCACGCTTCTCTGTCTGGCAATCCGATGGATGTGTCTGGGTTTACCAGTTGCCAGGAGAACAGTACTTGCCTGACTGCATTGTGCCAAGTGTAAAGTTTGGTGGAGGCGGGATTATGATAAGGGGTTGTTTTTCAGGGGTTGGGCTTGGCCCCTTAGTTCCAGTGAAGGGAACACTTAAGGCATCAGCATACCAAGACATTTTGGACAATTTCATGCCCCCAACTTTGTGGGAACAGTTTGGGGATGGCCCCTTCCTGTTC